CTAACCTTACACTCTAGATGGCCAACCTTAGACTAGATGGCCAACCCAACCTTACACTCTAGATGGCCCATCCAACCTTACACTCTAGATGGCCAACCTAACCTTACACTCTAGATGGCCAACCTAACCTTACACTCTAGATGGCCAACCTTAGACTAGATGGCCAACCCAACCTTACACTCTAGATGGCCAACCTAACCTTACACTCTAGATGGCCAACCTTAGACTAGATGGCCAACCCAACCTTACACTCTAGATGGCCCATCCAACCTTACACTCTAGATGGCCAACCTAACCTTACACTCTAGATGGCCAACCTAACCTTACACTCTAGATGGCCAACCTTAGACTAGATGGCCAACCTAACCTTACACTCTAGATGGCCCACCTAACCTTTCACTCTAGATGGCCAACCTTAGACTAGATGGCCCATCTAAACATTAGACTCTAGATGGCCCACCTGCTCCAAAAGGCCAGTTCTGTTCACCCCTGGTTCCTCATTTCCTTTACACCTTGTGTTGCCAACAAAAAGACCTTGAGTTACAACAGCAACCAGCACACCGGTCACTTCAAACGCCATCCCTGGGGAAATATTTTTAAAATCTGGGGAAATATTTTAAAATCTGGGGAAATATTTTAAAATCTGGGGAAATATTTTAAAATCTGGGGAAATATTTTTAAATCTGGGGAAATATTTTAAAATCTGGGGAAATATTTTAAAATCTGGGGAAATATTTTAAAATCTGGGGAAATATTTTAAAATCTGGGGAAATATTTTAAAATCTGGGGAAATATTTTTAAATCTGGGGAAATATTTTAAAATCTGGGGAAATATTTTAAAATCTGGGGAAATATTTTAAAATCTGGGGAAATATTTTTTTAAATCTGGGGAAATATTTTAAAATCTGGGGAAATATTTTAAAATCTGGGGAAATATTTTAAAATCTGGGGAAATATTTTTAAAATCTGGGGAAATATTTTAAAATCTGGGGAAATATTTTAAAATCTGGGGAAATATTTTAAAATCTGGGGAAATATTTTAAAATCTGGGGAAATATTTTAAAATCTGGGGAAATATTTTTAAATCTGGGGAAATATTTTAAAATCTGGGGAAATATTTTAAAATCTGGGGAAATATTTTTAAAATCTGGGGAAATATTTTAAAATCTGGGGAAATATTTTAAAATCTTTTGCCATCCCTGGGGAAATATTTTTAAAATCTTTTGCCATCCCTGGGGAAATATTTTAAAATCTTTTGCCATCCCTGGGGAAATATTTTAAAATCTTTTGCCATCCCTGGGGAAATATTTTAAAATCTTTTGCCATCCCTGGGGAAATATTTTTAAATCTTTTGCCATCCCTGGGGAAATATTTTTAAATCTTTTGCCATTCCTGGGGAAATATTTTAAAATCTTTTGCCATCCCTGGGGAAATATTTTAAAATCTTTTGCCATTCCTGGGGAAATATTTTAAAATCTTTTGCCATTCCTGGGGAAATATTTTAAAATCTTTTGCCATCCCTGGGGAAATATTTTAAAATCTTTTGCCATTCCTGGGGAAATATTTTAAAATCTTTTGCCATTCCTGGGGAAATATTTTAAAATCTTTTGCCATTCCTGGGGAAATATTTTAAAATCTTTTGCCATCCCTGGGGAAATATTTTAAAATCTTTTGCCATTCCTGGGGAAATATTTTAAAATCTTTTGCCATCCCTGGGGAAATATTTTAAAATCTTTTGCCATTCCTGGGGAAATATTTTAAAATCTTTTGCCATCCCTGGGGAAATATTTTAAAATCTTTTGCCATTCCTGGGAAAATATTTTAAAATCTTTTGCCATTCCTGGGGAAATATTTTAAAATCTTTTGCCATCCCTGGGGAAATATTTTAAAATCTTTTGCCATTCCTGGGGAAATATTTTAAAATCTTTTGCCATCCCTGGGGAAATATTTTAAAATCTTTTGCCATTCCTGGGGAAATATTTTAAAATCTTTTGCCATCCCTGGGGAAATATTTTAAAATCTTTTGCCATCCCTGGGGAAATATTTTAAAATCTTTTGCCATCTCTGGGGAAATATTTTAAAAATCTTTTGCCATCCCTGGGGAAATATTTTAAAATCTTTTGCCATTCCTGGGGAAATATTTAAAATTCTTTTGCCATTCCTGGGGAAATATTTTAAAATCTTTTGCCATCCCTGGGGAAATATTTTAAAATCTTTTGCCATTCCTGGGGAAATATTTTAAAATCTTTTGCCATCCCTGGGGAAATATTTTAAAATCTTTTGCCATCCCTGGGGAAAAAATTTAAAAAATCTTTTGCCATCCCTGGGGAAAAAATTTAAAAAATCTTTTGCCATTCCTGGGGAAATATTTTAAAATCTTTTGCCATCTCTGGGGAAATATTTTAAAATCTTTTGCCATCCCTGGGGAAATATTTTAAAATCTTTTGCCATTCCTGGGGAAATATTTTTAAAATCTTTTGCAATTCCTGGGGAAATATTTTTAAAAATATTTTGCCAGTTTATTGACACTGATCTTAAGAGGAAGAGATTTAAAACACAACACAAAATATAAGTGGTCAACTGTTGCAAGACATGCTAGGCTGATTTTTTAACTGCTGGTTGACTGGTTAAGTGGTTGACTGGCTGACTGGTTAAGTGGTTGAATGGTTAAGTGGTTGACTGGTTAAGTGGTTGACTGGTTAGGTGGTTTACTGGTTAAGTGGTTGACTGGTTAAGTGGTTGACTGGTTAAGTGGTTGACTGGCTGACTGATTAAGTGGTTGACTGATTAAGTGGTTGACTGGTTAAGTGGTTGACTGGTTGAATGCTTAAGTAGTTGACTGGTTAAGTGGTTGACTGGTTAAGTGGTTGAATGGTTAAGTGGTTGACTGGTTGAATGGTTAAGTGGTTGAATAGTTAAGTGGTTGACTGGTTAAGTGGTTGAATAGTTAAGTGGTTGAATGGTTAAGTGGTTGAATAGTTAAGTGGTTGACTGGTTAAGTGGTTGACTGATTAAGTGGTTGACTGGTTAAGTGGTTGACTGGTTAAGTGGTTGACTGGTTAAGTGGTTGAATAGTTAAGTGGTTGACTGGTTAAGTGGTTGACTGGTTAAGTGGTTGACTGGCTGACTGATTAAGTGGTTGACTGGTTAAGTGGTTGACTTGTTGAATGGTTAAGTAGTTGACTGGTACCTACTAGCAGTAAAGAATCAATGAAATCTTACTGATAAATGTGATTGAGTCCCTTTCTTTCTGGACAGTTGTGACATACATGGTCATGGCAGTGTAAGGCACATGTAAACACTAAAATACAGACAGTAAGATATGTAAGCACTAAAATACAGACAGTAAGATATGTAAGCATTAAAATACATACAGTAAGACATGTAAGCACTAAAATACAGACAGTAAGACATGTAAGCACTAAAATACAGACAGTAAGACATGTAAGCACTAAAATACAGACAGTAAGACATGTAAGCACTAAAATACAGACAGTAAGACATGTAAGCACTAAAATACAGACAGTAAGACATGTAAGCACTAAAATACAGACAGTAACACACATGACACATGAGAAAATAGAAATAAGAGTACATTTTTAAAAAAGGGGAAGATGTCTGTACTAATGTCATATCATGGTGTCATGTTTTACTGGTGTCATGCTTTACTGGTGTCATGTTTTACTGGTGTCATGTCATGGTGTCATGTTTTACTGGTGTCATGCTTTACTGGTGTCATGTCATGGTGTCATGTTTTACTGGTGTCATGTTTTACTGTTGTCATGTTTTACTGGTGTCATGTCATGGTGTCATGTTTTACTGGTGTCATGTTTTACTGGTGTCATGTCATGGTGTCATGTTTTACTGGTGTCATGTTTTACTGGTGTCATGTCATGGTGTCATGTTTTACTGGTGCCATGCTTTACTGGTGTAATTTTTTACTGGTGTCATGCTTTACTGGTGTCATTTTTTACTGGTGTCATGTTATACTGGTGTCATGTTTTACTGGTGTCATGTTTTACTGATGTCATGTCATGGTGTCATGTTATATTGGTGTCATGTTTTACTGGTGCCATGTTTTACTGGTGTCATGTCATGGTGTCATGTTTTAATGGTGTCATGTTTTACTGGTGTCATGTTTTACTGGTGTCATGTTTTACTGGTGTCATGTTTTACTGGTGTCATGTTTTACTGGTGTCATGTTTTACTGGTGTCATGTTTTACTGGTGTCATGTCATGGTGTCATGTTATACTGGGGTCATGTTGTGGTGTCATGTTTTACTGGTGTCATGTCATGATGTCATGTTTTACTGGTGTCATGTTTTACTGGTGTCATGTTTTACTGGTGTCATGTTTTACTGGTGTCATGTTTTACTGGTTTCATGTTTTACTGGTGTCATGTTTTACTGGTGTCATGTCATGGTGTCATGTTTTACTGATTTCATGTTTTACTGGTGTCATGTTTTACTGGTGTCATGTTTTACTGGTGTCATGTTTTACTGGTGTCATGTCATGGTGTCATGTTTTACTGGTGTCATGTCATGGTGTCATGTTTTACTGGTGTCATGTCATGATGTCCTATTTTACTGGTGTCATGTTTTACTGGTGTCATGTTTTACTGGTGTCATGTTTTACTGGTTTCATGTTTTACTGGTGTCATGTTTTACTGGTGTCATGTCATGGTGTCATGTTTTACTGGTGTCATGTTTTACTGGTGTCATGTCATGGTGTCATGTCATGGTGTCATGTTATACTGGTGTCATGTTTTACTGGTGCCATGTTTTACTGGTGTCATGTCATGGTGTCATGTTTTAATGGTGTCATGTTTTACTGGTGTCATGTTTTACTGGTGTCATGTTTTACTGGTGTCATGTTTTACTGGTGTCATGTTTTACTGGTGTCATGTTTTACTGGTGTCATGTCATGGTGTCATGTTATACTGGTGTCATGTCATGGTGTCATGTTTTACTGGTGTCATGTCATGATGTCATGTTTTACTGGTGTCATGTTTTACTGGTTTCATGTTTTACTGGTGTCATGTTTTACTGGTGTCATGTCATGGTGTCATGTTTTACTGGTTTCATGTTTTACTGGTGTCATGTTTTACTGGTGTCATGTTTTACTGGTGTCATGTTTTACTGGTGTCATGTCATGGTGTCATGTTTTACTGGTGTCATGTTTTACTGGTGTCATGTCATGGTGTCATGTCATGGTGTCATGTTATACTGGTGTCATGTTTTACTGGTGCCATGTTTTACTGGTGTCATGTCATGGTGTCATGTTTTAATGGTGTCATGTTTTACTGGTGTCATGTTTTAATGGTGTCATGTTTTACTGGTGTCATGTTTTACTGGTGTCATGTTTTACTGGTGTCATGTTTTACTGGTGTCATGTTTTACTGGTGTCATGTTTTACTGGTGTCATGTCATGGTGTCATGTTATTCTGGTGTCATGTCATGGTGTCATGTTTTACTGGTGTCATGTCATGATTCATGTTTTACTGGTGTCATGTTTTACTGGTGTCATGTTTTACTGGTGTCATGTTTTACTGGTGTCATGTCATGGTGTCATGTTTTACTGGTGTCATGTCATGGTGTCATGTTTTACTGGTGTCATGTCATGATGTCCTATTTTACTGGTGTCATGTTTTACTGGTGTCATGTTTTACTGGTGTCATGTTTTACTGGTTTCATGTTTTACTGGTGTCATGTTTTACTGGTGTCATGTCATGGTGTCATGTTTTACTGGTGTCATGTTTTACTGGTGTCATGTCATGGTGTCATGTCATGCTGTCATGTTATACTGGTGTCATGTTTTACTGGTGCCATGTTTTACTGGTGTCATGTCATGGTGTCATGTTTTAATGGTGTCATGTTTTACTGGTGTCATGTTTTACTGGTGTCATGTTTTACTGGTGTCATGTTTTACTGGTGTCATGTTTTACTGGTGTCATGTTTTACTGGTGTCATGTTTTACTGGTGTCATGTCATGGTGTCATGTTATACTGGTGTCATGTCATGGTGTCATGTTTTACTGGTGTCATGTCATGATGTCATGTTTTACTGGTGTCATGTTTTACTGGTGTCATGTTTTACTGGTTTCATGTTTTACTGGTGTCATGTTTTACTGGTGTCATGTCATGGTGTCATGTTTTACTGGTTTCATGTTTTACTGGTGTCATGTTTTACTGGTGTCATGTTTTACTGGTGTTATGTTTTACTGGTGTCATGTCATGGTGTCATGTTTTACTGGTGTCATGTCATGGTGTCATGTTTTACTGGTGTCATGTCATGATGTCATATTTTACTGGTGTCATGTTTTACTGGTGTCATGTTTTACTGGTGTCATGTTTTACTGGTTTCATGTTTTACTGGTGTCATGTCATGGTGTCATGTTTTACTGGTATTAAAGAGTAGACAGAAAAAAACCTGAAAGCTCTACATACAGTCAGGAAACCTTGAAACAGACAGTAGACAGCAAAATAAAATCCCAGTTTAGCTGAGTCGGATGCGTCAACTACAAGCAGACCCTTGCTGTCCAGTTTGCTGCCCCAGGGAATGTAAAATAGTAGGAAGTAGCAGGCACAAGCAAATGGTGTAGACAACAATATCCTAGGAAGAAAATCAAATCATAGGCAACAAATCAAATCATAGGCAACAAATCAAATCATAGGCAACAAATCAATGCAAACAATTGGTTTAATTGCTAGGCAGAGTTTTTGCGAGGCGGGGCGAGGGGTGCGGACCGCACCAGATGACATCATTTAGGAGGTGAAACCATGGCTAAAAATTTCACAATATATAGAAGAAAAAAGCTTTCTGACAGTTCAATTAATGATAAATAAGAATTAATCCACTGGTATTAATAACTAACTACAGACAACCATCTGTGCACACTTTAAAGCTGCAAAATTTAGAGAGCAATAAAGGCTTGTTGAGTATTTTGAATAAAAGGTAAGTCAATCAATGACAGTAGAGGGGGTGACACCAATATCTAATGATTTATTATGAAAACGATGCTTTTTCCACATGAATAAATAGGTGGATTATGAGCACAAGTTAAATGCATTAAGCAAAATGGGAAGGGGATGTCACCAATCGCAAGTATATATAGTTGCAATTTAGACCTATATATATATATATATATATATATATATATATATATATATATATATATATATATATATATATATATATATATATATATATATATATATGAAACATGTTTTTTCTGGTTGGGGGGGGGGGGGGGTGACACCAAGGGTTCCATGACAAATGATCTCAGGACAAATGATCTCAGACAAAATATCTCAGACAGAGAAATTGTAATAGTATGTATGATGATTTTAGCTGATTTGAACTTTTTTTAATTGACTGTTAATATCGGTCTGTTTACTTTTTTAATGATAATGTATAAAACAAATAAAGTAATGGATGTTATACAACATAAAGGTTCAAAACACGCGAAATATTTTTTAAAAATGTGAATGGGTCTTCAGGTTTGTAACGTTAAACTATTGTTTTTATTGCATCATCAGCACAAACATAACGTTTAGGTTTCTTTGCAGTCAGGTACATCAATATGACCACACCTCTCCAAAACTATGTGATCATCTATTTTGTGAACTCTTGCTCGACATGTCCTAATTTCACATTTCCAAATCTCTTTGCCTGCTTATGGCAAACATAAATTCACCAGAAACTAATGTCCTAAAACCTTTCCGCGAGGTAACGAAAGAGGCCATAACTGAGTAATCACCACTAATTTTGCTTTGTTTAATGCACCCTACGACAAACTTAGCTCTGGGATGACTGCTGTTTGTTTAAATAAGCATTTGTCACCTGATCACTAAGGTGTGACCGACGCATAACTATTGACTGTTGATGTTAGTTGTATTGTCCAAGGAGGGCAGATATCTTTCCCTATTTTGTCTGGGATATTTTGTCTGAGATCAATTGTCTGTGGTATCATTTGTCCTGATATATTTTGTCCTGGTATCTTTTGTCCGTGAGATATTTTGTATGAGATATTTTGTCTGAGATATTTTGTCTGAGATATTTTGTCTGAGATATTTTGTCTGAGATATTTTGTCTGAGATATTTTGTCTGAGATATTTTGTCCGTGAGATATTTTGTCTGAGATATTTTGTCCTGAGATATTTTGTCTGAGATATTTTGTCTGAGATATTTTGTCTGAGATATTTTGTCCGTGAGATATTTTGTCTGAGATATTTTGTCCGTGAGATATTTTGTCTGAGATATTTTGTCTGAGATATTTTGTCCGTGAGATATTTTGTCTGAGATATTTTGTCTGAGATATTTTGTCCATGAGATATTTTGTCTGAGATATTTTGTCTGAGATATTTTGTCCTGAGATATTTTGTCTGAGATATTTTGTCCTGAGATATTTTGTCTGAGATATTTTGTCCTGAGATATTTTGTCTGAGATATTTTGTCTGAGATATTTTGTCCGTGAGATATTTTGTCTGAGATATTTTGTCCGTGAGATATTTTGTCTGAGATATTTTGTCTGAGATATTTTGTCATTGAGATATTTTGTCTGAGATATTTTGTCTGAGATATTTTGTCCGTGAGATATTTTGTCTGAGATATTTTGTCTGAGATATTTTGTCTGAGATATTTTGTCCTGAGATATTTTGTCTGAGATATTTTGTCTGAGATATTTTGTCCGTGAGATATTTTGTCTGAGATATTTTGTCCGTGAGATATTTTGTCTGAGATATTTTGTCCTGAGATATTTTGTCCTGTCACCACACCAAGAGGTCCCGTACCAGGTGACCCCCAGCCTTTGACCCCCAGCCTGTGACCCCCAGCCTCGCAACACCACTGTTGCTAGGGTATAAGTTTTGATCTGTTTTAGAAATGACATTTACCACGGCCTCATTTTGCCCCATCTGGTGTTAGTTTTCTGAACCAAGATCCCAATAGTGGGATCAGTTACAGCATCCCAAGCCTTGCCGCTGAACAATATGATGGACACATACCTTGGCTTTAACTGGAGAGAACATTTCACATCATTTAATACTAGACATTCCACATCATTCAGACATTTCACATCATTCAGACATTTCACATCATTAAACACCAGACATTTCACATCATTAAACACCAGACATTTCACATCATTAAACACCAGACATTTCACATCATTAAACACCAGACATTTCAAATCATTAAACACCAGACATTTCACATCATTAAACACCAGACATTTCACATCATTAAACACCAGACATTTCACATCATTAAACACCAGACATTTCACATCATTCAGACATTTCACATCATCAAACACCAGACATTTCACATCATTAAACACCAGACATTTCACATCATTATAGAACAGACATTTCACATCATCAAACACCAGACATTTCACATCATTCAGACATTTCACATCATTAAACACCAGACATTTTACATCATCAAACACCAGACATTTCACATCATCAAACACCAGACATTTCACATCATTCAGACATTTCACATCATTAAACACCAGACATTTCACATCATTAAACACCAGACATTTCACATCATTAAACACCAGAAATTTCACATCATTCAGACATTTCACATCATTAAACACCAGACATTTCACATCATTAAACACCAGACATTTCACATCATTAAACACCAGACATTTCACATCATTCAGACATTTCACATCATTAAACATCAGACATTTCACATCATTCAGACATTTCACATCATTAAACACCAGACATTTCACATCATTAAACACCAGACATTTCACATCTTTCAGACATTTCACATCATTAAACACCAGACATTTCACATCATTAAACACCAGACATTTCACATCATCAAACACCAGACATTTCACATCATTCAGACATTTCACATAATCAAACACCAAACATTTCACATCATTAAACACCAGACTTTTCACATCATTAAGACATTCCACATCATTAAACACCAGACATTTCACATCATTAAACACCAGACATTTCACATCAATAAACACCAGACATTTCACATCATTAAACACCAGACATTTCACATCATTAAACACCAGACATTTCACATCATTAAACACCAGACATTTCACATCATTAAACACCAGACATTTCACATCATTAAACACCAGACATTTCACATCATTAAACACCAGACATTTCACATCATTAAACACCAGACATTTCACATCATTCAGACACATTCCACATTATTAAACACCAGACATTTCACATCATTAAACACCAGACATTTCACATCATTCAGACATTTCACATCATTCAGACATTCCACATCATTAAACACCAGACATTTCACATCATTAAACACCAGACATTTCACATCATTAAACACCAGACATTTTACATCATTAAACACCAGACATTTCACATCATTAAACACCAGACATTTCACATCATTAAACACCAGACATTTCACATCATTAAACACCAGACATTTCACATTATTCAGACATTTCACATCATTCAGACATTTCACATCATTCAGACATTTCACATCATTAAACATCAGACATTTCACATCATTCAGACATTTCACATCATTAAACACCAGACATTTCACATCATTAAACACCAGACATTTCACATCTTTCAGACATTTCACATCATTAAACACCAGACATTTCACATCATTAAACACCAGACATTTCACATCATCAAACACCAGACATTTCACATCATTCAGACATTTCACATAATCAAACACCAAACATTTCACATCATTAAACACCAGACTTTTCACATCATTAAGACATTCCACATCATTAAACACCAGACATTTCACATCATTAAACACCAGACATTTCACATCAATAAACACCAGACATTTCACATCATTAAACACCAGACATTTCACATCATTAAACACCAGACATTTCACATCATTAAACACCAGACATTTCACATCATTAAACACCAGACATTTCACATCATTAAACACCAGACATTTCACATCATTAAACACCAGACATTTCACATCATTAAACACCAGACATTTCACATCATTCAGACACATTCCACATTATTAAACACCAGACATTTCACATCATTAAACACCAGACATTTCACATCATTCAGACATTTCACATCATTCAGACATTCCACATCATTAAACACCAGACATTTCACATCATTAAACACCAGACATTTCACATCATTAAACACCAGACATTTTACATCATTAAACACCAGACATTTCACATCATTAAACACCAGACATTTCACATCATTAAACACCAGACATTTCACATCATTAAACACCAGACATTTCACATTATTCAGACATTTCACATCATTCAGACATTTCACATCATTCAGACATTTCACATCATTCAGACATTCCACATCATCAAACACCAAACATTTCACATCATTTTACACCAGACATTTCACATCTCTCAGACATTTCACATCATTAAACACCAGACATTTCACATCATTAAACACCAGACATTTTACATCATTAAACACCAGACATTTCACATCATTAAACACCAGACATTTCACATCATTAAACACCAGACATTTCACATCATTAAACACCAGACATTTCACATTATTCAGACATTTCACATCATTCAGACATTTCACATCATTCAGACATTTCACATCATTCAGACATTCCACATCATCAAACACCAAACATTTCACATCATTTTACACCAGACATTTCACATCTCTCAGACATTTCACATCATTAAACACCAGACATTTCACATCATTAAACACCAGACATTTCACATCATTCAGATATTTCACATCATTAAACACCAGACATTTCACATAATCAAACACCAAACATTTCACATCATTAAACACCAGACTTTTCACATCATTAAGACATTCCACATCATTAAACACCAGACATTTCACATCATTAAACACCAGACATTTCACATCATTAAACACCAGACTTTTCACATCATTAAGACATTCGACATCATTAAACACCAGACATTTCACATCATTAAACACCAGACATTTCACATCATTAAACACCAGACATTTCACATCATTCAGACATTTCACATCATTCAGACATTTCACATCATTCAGACATTCCACATCATTAAACACCAGACATTTCACATCATTAAACACCAGACATTTCACATCATTCAGACATTCCACATTATTAAACACCAGACATTTCACATCATTAAACACCAGACATTTCACATCATTCAGACATTTCACATCATTCAGACATTTCACATCATTCAGACATTCCACATCATTAAACACCAGACATTTCACATCATTAAACACCAGACATTTCACATCATTAAACACCAGACATTTTACATCATTAAACACCAGACATTTCACATCATTAAACACCAGACATTTCACATCATTAAACACCAGACATTTCACATCATTAAACACCAGACATTTCACATTATTCAGACATTTCACATCATTCAGACATTTCACATCATTCAGACATTCCACATCATCAAACACCAAACATTTCACATCATTTTACACCAGACATTTCATATCATTTAACACCAGACATTGCACATCATTAAACACCAGACATTTCACATCATTCAGACATTCCACATTATTAAACACCAGACATTTCACATCATTAAACACCAGACATTTCACATCATTAAGACATTCCACATTATTAAACACCAGACATTTCACATCATTAAACACCAGACATTTCACATCATTAAACACCAGACATTTCACATCATTAAACACCAGACATTTCACATCATTAAACACCAGACATTTCACATCATTAAACACCAGACATTTCACATCATTAAACACCAGACATTTCACATCATTAAACACCAGACATTTCACATCATTAAACACCAGACATTTCACATCATTAAACACCAGACATTTCACATCATTAAACACCAGACATTTCACATCATTCAGACACATTCCACATTATTAAACACCAGACATTTCACATCATTAAACACCAGATATTTCACATCATTCAGACATTTCACATCATTCAGACATTCCACATCATTAAACACCAGACATTTCACATCATTAAACACCAGACATTTCACATCATTAAACACCAGACATTTTACATCATTAAACACCAGACATTTCACATCATTAAACACCAGACATTTCACATCATTAAACACCAGACATTTCACATCATTAAACACCAGACATTTCACATTATTCAGACATTTCACATCATTCAGACATTCCACATCATCAAACACCAAACATTTCACATCATTTTACACCAGACATTTCACATCTTTCAGACATTTCACATCATTAAACACCAGACATTTCACATCATTAAACACCAGACATTTCACATCATTCAGACATTTCACATCATTAAACACCAGACATTTCACATCATCAAACACCAGACATTTCACATCATTCAGACATTTCACATCATTAAACACCAGACATTTCACATCATTAAACACCAGACATTTCACATCATTCAGACATTCCACATCATTAAACACCAGACATTTCACATCATTAAACACCAGACATTTCACATCATTAAGACATTCCACATCATTAAACACCAGACATTTCACATCATTAAACACCAGACATTTCACATCATTAAACACCAGACATTTCACATTATTCAGACATTTCACATCATTCAGACATTTCACATCATTCAGACATTTCACATCATTCAGACATTCCACATCATCAAACACCAAACATTTCACATCATTTTACACCAGACATTTCACATCTTTCAGACATTTCACATCATTAAACACCAGACATGTCACATCATTAAACACCAGACATTTCACATCATTCAGACATTTCACATCATTAAACACCAGACATTTCACATCATTAAACACCAGACATTTCACATCTTTCAGACATTTCACATCATTAAACACCAGACATTTCACATCATTAAACACCAGACATTTCACATCATCAAACACCAGACATTTCACATCATTCAGACATTTCACATAATCAAACACCAAACATTTCACAT